AAGAACAAGTGCTACTAATAGGAAATATATATGCACTTTCCTATTAGCGGTATCACGATCCTGTTATCATTTTTTATGATGAGCGTCACAAGACGTAGAAATTAACTGATATTTATTCTGTATAAACTTTGAATTATTTATTATCTTTATATAATTAATAATTATGTAATTGTATTAAAATAATTAACTTATGTAATTGCATTAATCAAACTATCCAATTTACTTCACTAGAATTCATACAGCAAACAAATTAGTGATAAATCGATAACTAAGGAACAATCGAATGCATTTTTATTACGCAATACAGTGAGTTCATCTTTTTTCTCAATATCATCATGTCGGCATGCAATTAAATTACGACATAATTCATGTTACATTGTAACTGCATAAAACTATGTCAGTCGCGGTAACGAGTTATTAATCATGACTTGAACTTGAGAGCATTGAATATCATGCCTTTAATTTTGAACCGATGTATATTTACAATTACAACGTTAAAACAATGTTGTAATTTTTTAAAATTCTAATTATTTCTCGCAAATAATCAATCAAGTATTTTATTTTATTTGTAATTTAATTGTAAAAAAAATTAAGTTTATATTAATATAATAGTTCTCTTTAACGCAACATAAAAAATGATCTCAAACACAATAATTCAATTAAGTGGCATCGTTGTAATGTGCTTATTTTACATTCGTGCTAACTGTAGCAGCTATATCGATATGTGGCAAGCAATTAACGTGCATCATACGCACATTAGTATTGCTGATTCATTATTTACACTAAACTGCTACCTCTGCCGCAATTACTGTTCTTATGGCAAAGTATTCTTACTTCTCCACGAAGAACTTCATTAATCTCTGACACGTGCGCAGAGGTGTGGACATCCGCTATTTAAGTGAGTGTCATTCCAATGCATTTAGACTTGTCAGACATGCGTGCTGGTTGTCATCAAATTAATCAACAAAAGGCACATATCTTTTTCCAGAAAGACAGTACGATCACATCAATTAAGACATCGTTTGTTAAATATATTTTCTGTATAATTAAATTACGTTTGAGATGTTTCAGAATTATACATTAAATTAAATTAAAATATATACCTTGATCATTATAAATCCACGTGATAATTTCTTTCATGTTTCAACTGATGACTCGAGCACTTTATATTCTGTTAATATATTATTATTTCTATACGTTAATTTTGTCACACTATTCGATATTTGTATGATTTTGAATTCATATATTTTATGTGACTCACATTAGCTTTGCATTCTTCTATGATTTCATGTATTTGTTAGTGTGTAATGTGCTTAATAAAATGTAAAGCCATTAATCGTCTTCTTGTTCATCATTGGAATGTCGTTTTTCGTGTCGACTTAAATGTATTGTAACTATTCAACCGAGCAAACTAGATCGAGATTGACTCTTTATGATATTTATTCTAAAACGATAGTGATCAGGATTAACAATATAATGACAACAAAATATTTATTTATTAAGCAACGACTAATTAGAAAGTCTGTAGAAAATGGAGATGATTTGATTATAAATTATGGATGTGATAACAAAAATCAATAAAAATAGTACTGATATAAATATATGGATACAACTATCATTATTCGAAACATGACAAAAAAATATATAAATATATAAATATATTACAAAAATAATAAGAATATAATAACATTTATTACAATATCCTATATTGTAATAAAATTCATATTTAAAATCATATTCAATTATGAATCTCATTTGCAACAAGTATTGTATTATATATGATTATAGATTGTTTATTTTAAGATCATAATCTATTTTGAATTATGTACTCTATTTTTTTTAATAAACTTTTTAATAAAGCTTAAGCAATTTATAATGGCCAGATTAGAGCAAATATCAGTCAGTTGACTATTCCTTCTTCTTCTTTTAACTTAAGCGTTTCTTTCAAGAATTTGACGCTAAATACATAACTTTAATCGGAAATATATCTGGTATGGTATAAAAACTTAAATTATTAAAATTATTATTAAATTATTTTATTAAATTATTATTAAATTATTATTAAATTATTATTATTATTAAAAAATTAAAAACTATACAAAATTATTGAAGCTACAGATAACAATTTCAAATCTTCTTTATGAATAGGATGAATCCAAATTGGTATTAAAAAATCTGTGATTGAAAAAATGCAATAAAAAATATACATTCAAAATTTAATTTTTAGACAATATTAAATGAAATTAATTTTTTTAATTCTATTTTTAACACACGCAAACTTACTCAACTAAAAAAATATAATTATGACACGAACACATATAAATTGAAACTAATAGCTTTAGCCTCACGCAAAAATGTATCATACAAAGTGATATTTATACGAGATTATATCAGGAGCTTATTAAATAAGAGCTTATTAAACGCATCACGTGATTGCGAGATCTGCAATGATACTAATTGTCAACAACTTTGCTGTTAAATGCGACACGTTGCAATAATGATGTTATAAATTTAACACTGCTGCAAATCGTTCGTCGATCGTTAAATATCTCGCAACGGTTCTGAGCGAATGATTAGTGATCCGGAACCGAGGCAATTTACGATGGAGGAAGGAAGATTTGTCCGAGTATTGATTATCTACGGTCATAGTTAGCAAAAAGCATCGTACCTTTCTTTAACACCTTGGATCGCTTCTTAATAAGAAGCGCTCTCTTCGGAATAAAACAGGATCTGCAGCGCATATTTTAATAATTCAATTAATTGTGTCCTTTTACGTTGCAAGCTTGAGTCTCTTAAAAATTCTTATCAGAATATTGTGATTTAATGAAAATCCGAGTCACCGATCAATTTTCTCATTTTTAATGTCCTTCAGACAAAATATTTATTATAGATATCATTTTCATGCGTAGTATATCTTTTTAAGAAACGGAAATAAAATATCGACCTTGAATGTACTGAAACCAGACATAGTGGTGAAGTTCATTTTCGTTTACGTTGGCTGTTATCCAATAGTAAAATTTAGCAGTCGTTGGAGAGTTGAGACGAGTATGTAATGACGACTACATACATTATAACTGCAGAAATATCCAGTAACGATTCCTGCTTGGCACAACAGTTCGCATATTTACTGCGGAATATTTTAAGTGGCAATAGTAATATGTTAGTTTTGTACGTCAGGCATTCTAATATAGTCGTATGTATGTATAAACTGTTATTATTGGCAACTCTTCACTTAGGTCCCACAAATAAATATTTTTAATTTGTCGATAATCCTTTAGAAACGTTTTCATCAATAAAGTGAATAATGGAAAATAAATGGGTTCATATATTTATTATTTATATTTGCACATAATCCTTACTTGTAAGTAATGTTATTTTTTATTTTGATTATGAAACACTGGGAAAAATTTGGTTGAAAATGAACAAACCAGAAGATTCTGGTTTATCGATTTTCAACCAAATCATTTTTTTCAGCAAAGTTATATAAAATCATCAATTATTTTCTCGCAATATCACTGTTCCAAATAGGACTTTCGATGCAAGAAAAAGATCTTCAGGTGTAGAAAATCATAAATAATATTATTCATGTATTATCCACTTTGGCATTGCGGACAAGAAACTTTTCCATGAAACGTTTCGACGAAGTGAAAGTTTCGACGACAGTGGAATTAAAAATATCGGGTGTGCAAGTAGAATTTGCAAATTGCATTTTAAATGTACCACTACGATATTAAATATGTTCTTACATGTTGCATGATTTTCATGATAAGGTATTATCTTCAATGATGAGATTGTTTCTTCTAAGATGAAAAAATTAAGATTTTTCATCGATCTTTTTTATATCTTTTTCAAAGTTGTCTTCGTGTGTTGCGATAAAGATATGATTTTGCAATAATTAATCGAATACTTTATTAATGTTTATCATGCATCAGCTTGCATCAAAATTCTATTCTAAGATAACTTATGCGAATGTATTTTCTTATGGATGTCAGATACATGCGCAGTTCATATTAAAGGTAAGGCTCTTGAGAGAAGGAAATAAACATGTGCGATTCATAGTCAAAATTTAAATAATTTAAAAACAAAGAATAAATTATTTACTGTAATTCCTTCTGCAAATATTTCTGTTTTACATGAAATATATACAGTTCAATATATGTAACATTAGATATTATAAAACACAATTTCTTGATTTAAAAAAATTGTTGCAGTCTTTTGAATATAACAATAATAAAGCTTTCAATTTTCAGCAAAATTATAATTTCTAAAGTACTTTTAGTATTTACGCCAATTTCGATGATTTATATCTGATATCCGCAAATGTTTAAGATATCTTCTTGTTGCTGATTCCAATTAAGTTTGTATCAATTTTCGAATGCATAAATTTGCATACAATTTACACTTTAGTTTAAGCGTAATCAAATCTTGTTACTACTCCATGGAATTCAAAAGCATTGTCAAGAAGTAATCAAATCTAATTACGAATTTTGATAATTAACAATAATTAACAGAACGTGTTAAGTTTCAAAAATTTAGAAATTATATATAATTCTCAAGGTGGAAATAAATAATATTTAAATAAAAATGGATAATATATTAAATATATAATTATACATAATAATATTATATTCTGCGCGAAATTCTGGCGAATAATTTTCGAATGACGAATTATTGTAGCTATGAGAAAGAAAAATTCGAATTAATATTTTATAATATTGGATTTATCGTACAATACTTATTTCTTTTTATTATACATATAAATAACAAATAAAAAAAATCTTCTTCTTTAATTTTAAATATTTTACTTAACATCATTATAAGTTATATTTATCATTCATTGCTATATAATAAAATACATTTTTAAAATATTTAGATCGTAATTAATATAAGTCATTAATTTAAAAATGAAAATAGAAAATTAATATGTGTTTGATAATATTTTTTTTAAAAGTTACTTTATTTTTTTATCTTAATAAAAAAAAAATTGAAAAATGTCTTACCTTGAAAAATCCAGTGTTTAGTAGATTCCAAAAAACCGTTAAATTTGATCCTCGAATCTATTTCATAAGCATACTTGACGAGAATGCACAAGATTCGCTCTATCTTGGCGGGACTACGCCATACTGTAAAAGATTTGTACATCTCTTGCAATGTATATATCAGTAAACTCGAAAGACCATCTGAAATACAACAAAAATTCAAACGTGAGAGAAATATATTATGTGAGCAGCACATTGAATAAATGCATGTATTTTTTTTATCTAAACTAAAGGAATCTGTGGAGAGGATTAATAATGAATATAAAGATAAATGGAGTTTTAAAGCCAATAGAATCGTGGACACCAGTTCTCTGACAATTACGTTATGATATATTAGACATTGTGGCAACCAATGGTGGCGCATCTGGTAGTTGTGACTCCGCCTACTAAAGACTCCCGGATCGTTTTTAAAATAAGGAAATGGCCCCTTTCATGCCCTCGACACTCTACTCTTGAACACCTATACTGTGTCCTACTCCCAACTAATGTCGATAGCTCCCTTTTTCTCCCTCTACCGCTGAAAACCCGATACGTACGACCCAGCGGAATAGACAACGGCGCGATGCAAGTGCCGTGCCGCTGGAACGCTTGGTGTTGGTTCCCTCCTTTTACGCGCCCAGGTGTACCTGGCCAACCACATTCTGCTGTGCGCGCGTGTGCACACGATGAGAGCGAGAGAGGAAGAATAGAGAGCGATGGGGGAGGAGCCGAGACAAGGAAGGGTTACGGGGAAAGGGACGAGGAGCTCGTTGATATGGAGAAGGGGTGCAGCGTGCCTTTTAAAGTTCGCGCGCAGGTGCGTTGGCCCACTGAACTATAATACTGTTTAAAAGAGCATTGGCCATATATATTCTTATGTATTAAAGTTTACTCCGATAGACATTTTCTTTAGGCGACAATCTATTGTTATACTCTTTATACATGCATAGTAAATGTTTCATATAATTCTCAAAATTTTGTTAGATACTTATGAGCTATGCATAGTATAATACTGTATCTATAAAACAAAAAAACCAAACTTTGATTAGGATTGATTGTGACAGAGGCATCATCATCTTGGCAGATTAATGTTCTATGCAAAATTATTATATAGTATATCAATTGTATTATTATATCACTGTATTATTATATTAATTATAGGCCAGATAGATTATATTTAATGTAATGTTTCTTTTGCAAGGTTTTTCAATAATAAAATTTTTTGTATGAGCGTAAAAGATGTACAATTTCTGAATACAAATTTCATGAAATGATTCAATTTCTTATACATAGTACAATACCTGCCGCCATATTCCTATCAATATAATACTTTGTGACCACGTCACATGGCGACTGAAGAAATTCTTCTTTCGTTTTTTATTCACTTTGCATCGTAAAAGAACAAAGCAAAGAGGAAATTGTTACTCAGAAATTCTCTTATTTCCGTTCTCTAACTATCTACTGCTTACCACGAACTTTCACCGTGCGACGCCATTTTGCATGAGATGGACTATAATACGCGTAAAGGAGAATACATAAGTTATTCGTATGTATGCCATTTCTAATAGTTCTTATTTTCTGGTGCAAAAACTTTTCATAATTTTTCTGAACTTTTTTCCAATGTCTACATAACAGAATAATTTAATAAAAATTAGTAGAGACCTTAAAGAATATGTGTGTATTTTTACAGAATTTTTCGAGTTCTTTAAAAGAATCTTAAAATTGAATCGGACCCATGTGTGCTGTTAAGTTTAGTTACATACATGTAAAAAAAAGAATAGAAGTGAGAATTGAAATTCTACTTCAATCTTCGAATCACAAAGAAAATTATATTAAAATATTAGCCAGCTTACGTTACATATAAAAATTTATCTTCACATCATTGAGACGTTCCCATTTATAGGATATTAATATAAATTTATATAAATTTATATAAATATTAATTATATAAATATTAATTCAATAAATTATATAAAGTCCTTCTAATAGACTCCTTCCTCTCCTGTTGTAATGAAGAATTGCTGAATATATATTAATCACCTTCATGAATATTTTATATTATTAATTAACAGGAATGAGAGATTACTTTAGTCATTATTTTTTTATAATAAATGATTTGGTAATAACGTTGCAATTTTTTATAACTGTATGATAAGTAACTCCACACTAAAATTGTGCTAAGATTGAAAAAGTCACTTTACTATTACATTTATTTACTGAAAAAGTTATTTGTAACGAATAACGAGTAAAAATAAATGGAATCAATTAATAATTCCGTTTATTAATTTCATATTCTTAATTATTTTTATTCATAAATTCAATACTTTTAAATATGATTTTAAAAACTTACAAGTACAATTTAGGTGACCGGTTACCTAAATCGTATCTTTTGCAATATTTTACAAAAGGATTTATACAACAAATTAATTTGTCATTGGTAAAACTTTAAATATGTAATAATAGATGCCTAAAACGTCAAGCTACAATTTCCAATATTCATATTTAGAAACAAATTTAATATTGAATCCTTTTACAAATTAGTGCACAAATAAAAAATATATAAAAAAATATCTTAAATGATATGCATTCAGCAATTCTGTATTTTATAATTTTCATATATCAACTGAAAGAAAGACATTATCAGATTTAAAGCCACTCTATTGCTATGCGATTCTCAGTAATCTATGCTCATATTATCGAATCAGGTTCGATTACGTAATGTGAGGAGCGTTACGAACGATATCATTTGGTCCCGTGAATGACACGACAAGCTGTTGTGCATATTTCGTCACGATACGTTTATATTCGTTTCTTATCTGACCGAATCCTTTCGTAGAAGAGAAACCGAGATGTGTATAGTTAAATGCAGAACTGAAATGAGATTGATGACATTTGGATATGTCTTTCTAAAGTGAAGAAAGAGTTCTTATATCGCGCGACGATGACAACTGTTATGAATGACTGTCCTTATTCTTTGATTATATATTGACTAGGCTCTTACAAAGAAACATGATCCATTCGTAAAACACTAGCCGGCAGAGATAATTTCATATTGCAATCATATAGTTACATTTAAAGTATCTTTGATACTAACCTTAATTTTCTATTCTCGTAATTCTTTTCATTTTGTTTTAGATCCTATTATTCAGAAGTTAAATGGTACGTTTAAATAAAATCTAGCAAACACACACAAACGCGAATGAATAACTTGCAATGAACAAGTTTGCTCTTGCTTCCAATATAGGATTGGAGAAAGCTATAGCTTTAAGAGAACTTACTCAGAGAATATAACGGACCAGTATCTAATTATAGCTTAATTAAATGGAAAATTATCACATAAAATTATTCACAAAATATATAGATATATATTTGTTCTACATAAAGGAGATACGTGTTCTACATTTAGACACGACAAATGTACGTTAACTATATTCACTTAATATTAGTCTACGTTATATGGATAATTATGTATGTGTGTATAATATTAATATTTATTAATGTTATATATTGATTGTTGTATATTGCCATTAGAAGCCACCTTAAGAAAAGTGCATCTTACATCAAAAACTTGAAATCAGTATAAGTTATCATTCATTGAGATATCCTTAAAAAATCAATAAGATAAATAAATACGTTACTTTTAAAGTCCAAGGTAAAGCGTGCTTTCTAAAATGGAAAGATATTATCTTAAGTCGTCTTAAGATATATAATAAAAATGTTATTAAACGTAATAAAAATAAGACTTAAAATATAAAAACATAATCTTATCAGAATTCTATCGGCGTTATAAAGATATGTTATCATAAATAAATAAAGAATGTGCATTTAATATTTATTTTTTTCCTACCTGCTAAAAAAAAAATAAAATATTGTGTCAAACAACTGCCATTTAAATTGAATTTTATTGATTGCATCTATGTTACCTATTATATTATTCTTATCGACACATCGTAATTAGATCATAAAAAAGTAACAATTAGCTCCGATCTGTTCAGCTAATAATGATAATTATGTAAGTCGTATAACAATGAATTCTTCGATTACACGAGAGCTTATTAAATTGGTATCAGTTTCGTTTCTAATCAAGGTAAATAGTGCCGCCGACTTAGATCCTCATAAAACATCGTATTTCTCAACTCGTGCCATGAAAAATTTCTTAAGATCGAAATATGTGTTATAAAAAACTAACTATGAGAAACGCCACTCGTAAAACTGTTTCAAATATCACGGGATCAACATGAACCCGAAAAATCTGAAAGTTCGACTCTATGTGGTGAATCGTGCCACCAGCAAATTTTAATCCCCAAAGTCATTATTACTTCTTGTTGCTATCGAATGTAAATCGTGCGTTCGACTCATATAAAAGGATCGTAAGACCTCCGGACAGTCGTAAATCCTGCTATTCTCGCGCTCGAACAATTTCAATATAAACTACTTCCAAGTTACATAAGTCAACGGAAAATATAAAACATAAGAATAAAGTAAAAAAAAGAAAAAAGAAAAAAAAAGAATAATTAATAACATTTACTCTATATTTTTTCTATTTTGTATTTAAGTGACTAAAAAATATTTACAAGACGTATTACATTTTAGGGACGCTTCTAGTTGTAATAAACCGGTACGTCGACGACAAAAGTATCCAACGTAGCAACAGCTATAGCAGTAATGGTTTTTTAACTCGTTAGTCGAGAGAATCTGCATATTTCGAGCTTGTCACGAATGAGGAGCTCATATTACATGGTCAAACCTCCCTCTCTCGTATGTGGCTCGCGGTCCAGCATAGCATTGAACACGACTTTGCCACAAGGGTTGATACGAGAACGAGCTTTGTAGCAATGATACCGTTGTGTCACTACGTGTAATCGAAACCAAGCGTCGCCGTCATGATACGATCGAGAGTTCGTTTCGTCGAGAAGAGACGCACTATTTATTATATGTATGAACATATAATAGCATCTAACATTAAATAAGTTATCTTTAATTCATTAATTTAAAACTAAAATATATAACACTCATAGTTCAGAATATCTAAAACTAAAACGAATAACTATTTTTACGCAAGAACAAGAACATTTGATTATTAAAACATATATCAAATAGTATAGAGACAACTATAGATCTCCGATCTGTCAATACCATTCTCGTTCCACAAGCACATTATTTCAATAAATATAACCGAAGACTCTGCAACAATTCTTTCGTCGCCTATAAAAATAGTAAACGCGAAATTGCAATAAGTTCCAGCGGAAAGAGTCGAATGAAGGAACGGTCGTGAACGCAGCGGCTTTTACGAGACACGACATTTCGGAAGCAGTAAAATTCTATCCTGTCAAGCGTTCGCATAAAATCCTTGCTCGTCAGCCACTGTGGCGCAAACACAAGGGGAGTAAGCAACGTGCATACTCTCGATTTGCGAATGAACAAAAAGAAGAGAAAAGATAGATGTAATCGTGCAATTTAAGAGAAAAGATAGATGTGATAGATGTAATTTTGTCGATTGCTTAGACGTGGGTGGCGTTATAGAAGAGGATGACATTTTTTCATTAATGTCACTCATATACGTTTGCAACATCGTATCACTTGAAACCATAAAAACACCCATCGTGAAAATAAACGCTTCCCTTCTCCGAATATATAAAGCGAACATCTGTCTATATTAATCAAATGTTCCGCAATAATATTTCTGCAAGCTGATATTTTTTTACATAACTATGTATACATAATATAATTTTAGAAAAACAGACACATTCTCCGTTTTAGATTTGATCTATCAAATGTTTCTAAAATAATCTAATTATAATAAGTATAATATTAATAATAATATTAATTCGTTTGTACAGACTTGTTAGAGTAAAAATGAAATCAAATAAGTGAAGTAGTAAAGCAGTAAAAAATTAATAAAAGAATTGAAATTTT